CCTTTGGGAAAGTGGATTCTAGTCCTCTCCACTTTTATCTGGGGCCTTGATTTCCAAATGAAATGTAGACCTTATTTCCATCTGAACAAACGACTTTCGACTACAGAGCAACAATCAAATAGTCTTTCTCCTTGGTTCACATCAGACACGTCTGACTTTGACCCAAGCTTAGAGATCACTTGACTGAAGAAATTAGACGTCTGTATGCCAGATTTTACTGAGCCATCCTCTTAAGGCTGCTGTTGTTCCTGGTGCTGGTCAACTTTGGCCACTACGCTTTTTTTTTTTTCCTCCACTCAACTTTCTATGGACATACTTGAATACAGGCTTACTTCTTTAGCCATAACATTGGGTGAATACCCCTCCTTTTGGAGACTGTCCGTGACTGTCGACTGTAGATGCAGTTTGGAAAATATTGCCCTTAGATAACATTTAAACACCTTTTAAATTGGGATTTCATTAAGTCAGCCATAATAATCAAAGGTACAAGAAATGAAGGCTTGAAATATTCCATTGCGTATGCAATAAATCTATACCTGAAATGAGCAACAAAAGACACTGAAATCGTTCACAGTATTTAGTTATTGAAGTGTACCTGGACATCACTTAATAGCACTATTGGTGTTATTCTTATGTCTTGTTTAAAAATGAATGTCATCACATTGTGGGAATCTTTCACAGGAAACTCGATCCTCATCAACATTTTTGACGCCATATTGAAACCTGTGATGCCCATCTTGAAGAAGTAAGTTGGATATTTCAATGTTTCATATACTGATTTTTTTTTTTTCTTTGGCTTAGCCTGCTGTCTTGTTTCTCTCCAGGAAATTGAATTCCTTCCTGAATAAGTTAAACCCAACAGAGCAGCAGATGGCTGCCTATATTGACGCTCTGTGCAGCAAGCTGTGGCCGGAGATCCAGCAGGTCGCCGCCCCTCGAACGGACGAGGAAAAGGACGAGACCAGAGAGCGAGCGCACAACCTCATCAACGCTCGATGTAGCCCACACCTTCTTAATTCAGACACATTTGTGTTGCTTGACCAAGGAAACCTGACCGTCTCCTCTCTGTTTAGATTCTAACTATCTGGTTCTGAAGAAGACGGATGTGGAGTCGGTTTTCAATCTGTTCCAGAACCGAGAGGAAAACAAAACTCTGATCTATGTGAGTATCTGACTATCAGAACCTCTCCGTCTCATTCAGAGATTTCACTTTGAAAATGTTCATTTTTCTTTCTTTCATAACAGACACTCCTTGCCTTCCTGTTGAGGGAATTTCTGCCCAAAGACAACTCTCTACACTTAAGTGCTAATGTTCTTCAGAAAGTGACCAACGGCGCCAACTGATCTGTGAAACCTGCCTTTATTTTATGTGACCACTTTTTAAATATTGAAGATATTTATAATTGCCTTCTAATCGTTTGGACCACCTCAGTATGAATGTGAAAAATGCCTTTTTCTGTCATTAGTTTTACCTCAGACACACTGTGAATATTTGTTTTTGTCAATGATCTTCTCTTCACATTCATGTGTTGATGCTGAACTCGACTGAAATCAGGAACTATATCTGGGAGTCAGAATATTACTGATGATCTCAGGAAGGAAGAAGTGACCCTTATTTCTGGGTACAGATGTCACTTCATACATTCTGTTTTCCAAAATGATTTTCGTCACTTAAAGCACTTCATATGTTAAAGGTGTTTGTTTACCTAAAGGGTTCTTCTTCTGTTTTTGTTTTTCTGTTTTGTCTTTTGTGAAAATATAAAAGCTCAGATTTTCTCGTTGCACACAATTTGTCAAAACGGTCAGTTCCTCGCACATAGCTTGAAGTAAGTGTGTGGAACTTGAAAATGTATTCCAAATAAAATATGTAATATCACTTTGTTTATATTCAGGTTTTGTTTTTATATTTGAATAAAGATATTTCATTCAAAGAAACTGAGGAAAGCACAATTATATTTATTTTCTTTCCAGCTGAACATAAAATGTTATCAGTTGTGTTTTTCTGTTATTCAGATGATACATTAATCTGTGTAGGTATTAAACCCATCATCAGTGTACCTTTAGATATGATGCTAATTACTGACATTAGACAGTTATGGAATAAAACAATCATTGCAGCCTTAATATATTGATGGCTTTAAGGCTGCTGTTTCTAAAACACTTTGAAATTGAGTCGATGTTTTTTAAACTATTGCATTTTAATCATTAAAGGTTTAAATAAAACAAGGTTATTTCAATGTGAAATAGATGTTGAAATTGCATTTTATGAGCATTTTGATCAATCTTTTTTTCTTATCTTACAGTATTACAAATACATTCTGTAACATTGATGCCCTATAAGCTTTTATTCAGTTTCCCAATACCAAACCTTGTCCTGGGGTATGTAATTATTCATCAATTTCTGATATAACTAAATCCTTTGCTTCACACATGCTTGGAATTTTCAATTTCTATATTTGAACTCAAGTTATACACTTAAAAATACTAGGCATTAGTCTTCTTTCCATTCCTTTATTGCCCAATGTCCTTAATAAGCTTGAAAATTAGAAATAACTTTTAGAATTTGGCTGATATTGTCAGTATTGTCGGTTGTATAAGATATTCTGTTTTTGCACAATCTACCTTTATACTGAGTTTTGAATTTTTTTTTTTTCAGATTGAACATGGTTCTAACTTTAGGATTCTGCTCAGAATAACTACTGAACCTTAGAGTTTCTGAGTGATCCCTGGTGGTATAGGGATTTCTCTTAATTTGTACATCTAAAGAAGGCTCACACTGTGACTCTGATCCAAAGGTATTCTGTGACTGTGCTGCAGGGGTTTGGGGTACTCTATGCTCCATGTGCCCCATAAATCTGCACAAGTTTTTCTTATAAGACGGGCTGTGTTTCAGCCTGAGTCTATCAGCACACATTAAGGTATTAGGTTTTATTTACCAGAAAGGAAAACTGATCAGGAACAAATAATCAGAATCAGAATGAAGTGTTTAATCCCTTGTGGGAAATTATTTTCTTGAGGTGGAACCATTAACAGAAGAGAGAAAAATGAGATTGTAAGTTCAATAGAGCAAAATCAAATATAAGAGAGACTAAAATAGCCAGCTAAAAGAAGTCTGTATGTTAAAACTGATTTTACCAAAGATAAACAATCTACAATGGAACTATTTTTAGAATTGTAACTATAAAATGTTTTGCCCTTGTCTATTTGGCATTTTTTTAATGGAACCAACATTCATTGCTGAAAAGAGGAAATCTAGCTGTTATTTGAATTAAAAAAAAAGAAAAAAAACTGTAAAGTTCTGGGTTTCTATAATATTTGGTACAACAGAAGATTTTTGCATGATTTTCCAACAAGTCATGAAAACCATGTTTTCTAATCGTTTTGTTTCATTGTAATGGATGCAAATATATTAACCAACTCTCATTCTTTACAAAATGTCATTGTTTTTATAATGATGATAATGAGATAATGATTATTAGACTATGTGTCGCACTGTTTACAAACCATCCATCCTAGAACAGCTTTCATGATCCCTTGGTTGATGTCCATCTCCGGTGATCGTTGGGTGAGAGGCGGGTCTCCAGTCCATCATAAGACCACGCAGATAAATGGAACAAGCAAATTTATTTACACACTGATGGCTAAAGGTAATTAGAAGAGACCATTAAACTTAAAAGTTCTGTTTTTGTGTTGTAAGAGGATGCCAGAGTGCCTGGAGAAATAAAATCACAGACAGTGGAGAGTACATGCAAACACCATGCAGAAATATAGTAGGCTGGGTTTTGAACCCTCCTTGCTTTAAGACAACAGTGATGCCGACTGCGCCATCATACAAACCCCTTTACAGACTCTATAAATATGGATTCAGGAACTCCTAATTGATTTTTTTAAAGATTTATTTATTTGTTGCTTTACTTGTTGAATTATATTTACTATATTTATAGCTGCGGGCTTTTGGGTGTGTGTCTCCATCTGCTTTGCACATCTAGAAATTAAACTGCCATGTTTGTTAATGACTTTGCAAAATTGCTCAGGCATTTTTAATTCCGACAAATCTGAATATTACCAGAAGGGCATGCTGTAAGGTAAAGTAACTGTGACAATAAAACAGAAAAAAGAAGCAGTTTTATCTCCCTCTTCCAGGGAACAGACATTGAGATAGTGGACTCTTATAAGTACCTAGGTGTTCACCTGAATAACAAACTGGACTGGACTCAAAACACTGAGGCTCTGTATAAGAAAGGTCAGAGCAGACTTTTCCTGCTCAGGAGACTGATGTCTTTTGGAGTGCAGGGTGTGCTCTTAAAGACCCACTATGACTCTGATGTTGTATCAGCCATCTTCTATGGAGCCACTGACCTCTATTCATTGGAATGCTGATTGCCCAAAAAAGTAAAGCCACTGGCCGCCATGCTTGTACTCCCCTCTCCCACTGAGACATGCAGTAAAAATGTCAAAATGTGTTGCATTTGGCTGCAAAAACAAGCAGTTTGCCAGCTGTACGAAGATGTTCCACAGGTAATTTCACAGTAAGTAGATGTACTAACCAAGAAAATAAATATATATATGCCAATACATACTATACTAAGTAGCGTAACATTAGTCTGGCTATCTTGGACTGACTTGAAGATATTGACCAGATGTGGCTATTTATTCTCCCAGTATTTATAATGTTAAAAGACTTTAAAGTACAGTATTTCATTAGCTTACTTTTTAACTACACTGTTATCTTATTCTTATCTCATTTTCTTATCTCATTTTCCTTCATTTTCTATATTTTGTCTTTAATCTTTTTGCTGTTGTAAACACCAGAATTTCCCCAATGTGAGACAATGAAGGGATTTTCTATTCTATTCTATTCTATTCTATTCTATTCTATTCTATTCTATTCTATTCTATTCTATTCTATTCTATTCTTATAAATATAAAATAGAATAGAATTTCTATTATCTTTGCTGCATTTCCTCCTCCTTGCCAGCAGGTGGCGGTGCTGTGATGTGTCGCGCAGCAAACAAGCCGCTTTGCTCCAAGATGTCTGCGCCCTGAAGGATGCTGCTACCAGCGTGAAGGTGCAGGACGAGAAGCAGGTATGAAAACACGGAGGTTAATATGCTTTAAGCTGCGTTTTAAAAACTCTGAGGCAGCTGACAGTGTGATCTATAGAGTCCGTGACTTTTAAAAGCATTGTTTGTTCATTGAGGCTGTGTATGTGGAAGTGTCGCTCCTGTGTTTCACAATCAGTACAAAACATGTGTCCATTTGGGATTTTAAGGGGATCTCTGTAATAAGTGATCGATTTTAAGCATACGTATCCGCAATCTTTTCATAAGGTTTACATGTATTTGCTGAAAGTATAACAGACTCTGTTATAGGCTTTTATGAATCATCTGGTTTTATCTGATACAGGAAAAAAATCCTTAATTTAGTGTTCAAGAAGCTCAGACTAAACAAACTATTCATGGATCTGGTGTTTACTCTGTTTCACCACCTTTTTTATACAAATACACAAGCTACTTTAAATTATTCATAATGGAAATAGAATAGAAAATCCCTTTATTGTCACATAATAGGGAAGTTATTGATTATAGATTATAAGACTGTTTGATAAAATATTATTTGGGAAGAAAAAAAACAAAACAAAACAAACAAGCTTGTGTACCACAATTTAACCCCAAAGTGCCAAACATAGAGAAAGCCTTATAAACACCTACATTTAGAGTCGGGACAGACTGAGTCTGAATATAAATAATTGAATTGAAACATTTTTAAAGAGCAAACTTTCTTCTGACAGCACTGCAGGTTTCATGATTCACAGGAGGATGACTTTAGGTTTGTGTTTTGTGTTTGTCTCCTGGGTGCACCGGTTACTAGAGATGCAACTACTGACTCAGTGGGAAGAAGAGCTGTTGTTTTGTAATCTGAAGGCTGTGGGTTTGATTCCGGTTTTCTCCTGACCTTGAACATATTGTGCTCCTGAACAAAGCGCTTAACTCCAAGCATGCTTTATTGAGGCGGCTGTGGACCAGGCTGTAGAACCATGTATCTACGCAGTTGTCCTTTTTTGTCTTAAACATTAATGATCTGTCATTTTGCTTCTGTCATACAGTTTATTTTAATGATGTCCCAATACAATATTGGTCAGATATCAGACAAAAACACTATTGGATTATATCGGTCTGCAACTAAAATCTCCAATATTGGATTCTGCATAAAGCATTTTTTCCCCTACTTGCTTTGATTCTGTTTTATTTTCCTATATTTTAAAGCACTTTGCTCTGTCTTTGTACTGAATTGTGCTATACCAATATATTTGCCCTGCCTAAGTAACCCATTGTAATATTATTATTCGCTGTTTGATTAAACCTTTTCTAACAATGTGCACTTCAAAATAAGTATTAAAAGTGTGCATGATTCATGCCAATACTGAATCAGGTCAGTATAGGTTTCCGTAAAAGTAAAAAAAAAAAAAAAAAAAAAAATCTTGGTTTCCAAGATTTTAAGACGTTTCACCACCTCTCCAGTAAGCTTTCTCAATTCAAATTTGTCAGTATAGGTATTGGTCTGTTCTTAAAGGTGCAATATCAGTGTTATATTGGAAATGAAAATGTTTTCCCAAATATATTTAGGTTCCCTGTATTTTATGTTTATTTTTACTTTTTACTTTGGATCTTTATGCTATCATTAACCTGTTTTCTTTGCTGCTGACACGCTGAAATATCCCCATGGATGGATTTTTCTGTTTTTCTCAGTGTCACTGCTTTGTCAAGTACCTCAGTTGGTATTTTGGTTAAGTGCTTTAATACATGGTCTGTTTACTGTTACTTAAATAGGGTGGGATTTTCAAGCATGATAAACAAATAGGTGGTTCAGGTTGGAAGATCCCAATGTTATGCATTTAGGGTTTAAAGTCAACGTTTGGTATAAATCTGGTACGCTTCAGCAAGAATAAAGAAATAAAAATATCAAATTTTTAAATCTGCAGTAAATCAAGAATATCTTTCTATTTCTTGATTGCATTTGTTCTGTTGTTTTCTTGAGCTTTTAAGTTGAAAGTTTGAAACTAACTGGGTATTGGGTTGGGCTTTTTTCTAATTAAATATGTAGTATAATCAGGGGTTATGAAGATCTGGATAGATTGTCCGACAAATTATCCTTCTGAAAGGTATATTAAAAAACACTGATCCTATGTGTTTACTTAATGTGTCTCTGGAGTATGGCTTAAACAATGAATCAGATGAATCGATTAATTCCTGAAATAATTGTAACTAATTTAGTAATCGATTAATTGCTAACTGGAGTATAGAGACTGTAAAATATGCCTATAGCTGAATGAGTGACCCACTTAGAGCAAAAATTATATCAAAATTGTAAAAGAATTTGTAAACATTTAGCATTTAAGATAAAAAATAAATTGTTTTCTTCTGTCAATATGCTCTATCCAGAACTCCTCAAGTGGAACAATTTTAGTTTCACCTCATTTAACTTCATAAAAAGTCTCCTTTAAGGAATCTTGGCTATCTGATTATTAATTGATTAACAGAAAAAAAATAATTGACACATTAATCGATTTGCAAAACAATGGTTACTCGCAGCCCTATTCTGGAAATGTTTTAATATTTCCCCACGTTAATGTCCCAGCTGTACCTAAATGCATCACCTGTATTTGTTGAAAAAAATGCTCTTTAATTCCTTTGACAATCATTTATATATTAAACATTTAGTAAATAAAAATTTGGTTCAGCCCACCTTGTTCCTCTAGTGTAGCTGCATTAAAAGAAAAAAAAAATCTTAATCTTCCTAAAAAGCAGAGCTCAGTGAGAGCTGAGAGTCCTCTTTGCCTTGTTTTAGTGTCCCTTTTTGAAATGGTGCCACTGAACGTCGCTTTGTGCACTTAAATTAAATTTCACGCATTAACATTCTGCATGTGTTCAGGTATAAAACATTACTGTACTTGGCTGCTAAGAGTGTGCCACACAGACAGGGCTGTACCGGATATTTATAGTACTAATTTGTATACAGTTACTCTCCTTCAGTTGATTAGAAGGTAAAAGTTCCTTTTATAAACACACTTTTCATTAAACCTGGATTTCTGTGGGGTTAGGATTAGGGTTATGGTTTGCAGCTCTCAGAATGTGTCATATCTCAGTTTCTTTTAAGTTTTGGACTTCTATTGCAGTCATTGCAAGGTGCTGTTTAATATAATATTTTTGCTGCTGTACACATTAGAATTTCCCTATTGTGGGACAGTAAAGGGATTTTCTATTCTATTAACTTTACAGTTCATTCATAGAACATGAATAGACTGCAGCCTTCATGTTTTCAAAAATTCAATTTGGGTTAAAATAATCTTTAGGATGTCACAGGTGAGATCAATACAGCTCCTTTGTTCTTGGATGAATGATTAAAAAAAAGAAGAAAAGAAACAAACCATATCAGCAGATTTAAAAAAACTTTTAAATAATTTTTTTAAGCTTCAGCAATTTAAGGAGAGCAGTGAGCCTAGCAGCTAAACATTTCTGGGAAAAGTTTCCAGATTAGTCATCCAGGAATTTGAAACTGATTCAATGATTGTTGACATTTATTAATTCTTAATAAGCACCATTCATTTGACTGCATATTTAAGTGTTTTAGCTGAGAGAGGCTCAGTCCTAGATGTTGGTGACATTTAAATGAAATCCTCAGCCGCTGTCGACCATCAGCCCTCTTTACCAGGAAGAAAATCTTCCCCAACAGAACGTTCAGAAGGTTTGTGTTACTTATAAAATCCAACTAAACTGAGCCTTTTCCATATTTCATGAAGCAGCTGTTGAGGCAGAGACGAGTGTCCTTGCACCCCGATGAGGACGTTGTTTTGCGGACGGACGGTGTGATAGATGGGGATAATCAAATCAGAATGTGAGGGAATAAATGCAGCTCTTTTTGTGTGGAATGCCTTGAGCGAATGAAAAGAGAGAAAGTTGTATAAATGCAACCTGGCTGCCTTTAGAATTCGAATAACCTCGAGAAAGTTAAAAGCATTTTAACTTTCTCAACTTTCACCCGAGCGCTCTTTGTGTTCCTAATCGTCTTTTCAGTGAATTCTTTTAGCGGTTTTTCTTGACACAGAGGCGGGAGGGTGTATAGAAACGCTAACCTTGGCTTCATTTCAGTAATCGTCGCCTTGCTTTGCTGCAATCGATAAATAGCTGATGTTGTTTATAACACACATGTTTGAGAGGTTAAATCACCTTTAAGGATATTCTTCTTTCCTGTGCACCAAAGTCAGATTTCCTCTTCTTTTTGACTTCAGTCATCAGGAGTATTCGTGCTTCATCAGAGGTTCCTTCTCTTTTTATCTCAGTATTGAAGCAGCTCAGTGTACTGGTGGGTTTAATGAACAGTGTTGAACTCTTTCATGATGGAAAACAAAGCGGTGTCTGAAAAGATTTCCCCAAATGACATGCCTGTCTAAGCACTCCCAGATTTAAAATCCCTAACCGTTGAAGTTTGAAGAATCCAGGTGTTTTACCTATAGGCCAAAATTATTCACACCCAGCAGGTTTAAGGATTCACCATTTTGAAAATTTCTATGACAGATTTACATTTTTTTTTAAACATAAACACAAATAAAAAAGAAACTCCCCCTTAAACATCTAGGAGGAAAAGAGTAGGCAGAAGTAGGGTGGAGGAAACATCCTTAATTGTCCCACATGGGGGAGATTTATTATCATCAGCAGCAGGTAAGAGAAAGGTGAAATCTGAAAAGATTTAAAAGAATAATGTATAATTAGATGAAATGAAATGTGACACTGAGTATGGTAAATGAAAGACCTGCATGGTGGCAGCAGAATGTAAAGAACTGTATTGTCCTGTATTGTGTAAAATCTACTTTTGAGCGTTAGGTCATGTTATAAAATCAGACCCGAAGTGATATTGTGCTTGATTCATGCCTGGCTGAGCAATGCTCATGAACTCTGCTCTTTATACAGCATACCCTTCCTATCCTGGAAAAAGAGCAGCCATCACCGTCCGACCCAGAGCAGGAAGATTTTACAAGCATGAGTGATTCTGCTTTGATATGAATTTTGCTGAATGTATTGTTTTTTTT